TTTTAGATGCCCCTTTTACAGAAACTGAAGTGGGTAATGCGATTAAATCCCTGCCAAAACATAAAGCACCGGGGCCTGATGGTCTCTCCAACTACTATTATTTAAAATTGGCACCGCGACTAACACCACACCTTACAACATTATTTAACAAAATTAGAATGGCAGGTAAATTCCCACAAGAAATGCTGGAAGCCTACATTATCACCTTGCCTAAGCCAAATAAACCACCAACATTTTGCAGTAACATCAGGCCGATTTCACTACTTAATGCCGACGTTAAGTTGTACGCCAAACTGCTTGCCAATAGAATTCGTCCCTTGTTGTCCGCGTTAGTCTCAGAGGAACAAGCAGGCTTTGTTCCTGGCAGGCAAGTTGGGGACAACACCAGATATTGTATGGACTTAATTGATTGGGCCAACTTTAAAAATAAATCAGGTGCCTTGTTGGCATTAGATGCGGAAAAGGCATTTGACCGCCTAAATTGGGATTATATGTCCGAAACTTTGTCGGCCTTTGGTTTCTCCAATGCTTTCATTACCAGCATCATGGCCCTATACTCCGCTCCATCTGCTAAAGTATTTAGTTCCGGCTTTACATCAAGGAATTTTCGCATAACCAATGGCACGAGGCAAGGGTGTCCCTTGTCACCCTTGATCTTCATCTTATGTTTGGAACCTCTAGTTAGAACGATCAAGCTTGACGCGGCGTTACCCGGCATAGATACCCCGGCTGGAGAAAAAAAGTTGGCACTCTTTGCCGATGATGTAATCCTCTTTCTAGCTAACCCATCTGAATCCATTCCTCACCTATTACAAACACTGACCACATATGGAGATATCTCCTATTATAAAAATAACGTTAATAAAACCCAGATACTCCCCATAAGACTTGACAAGCAATTGGTGAGCGAACTGAAAAACACATACCAATTCGCGAGGCAAACTAACGCAATTTTGTACCTAGGTATCAAATTAACGCACACTACAAATCCCTAACTATAAAGGAAAATCACATAGCGGTCCTGTCCAATATTTCCAAACAGATGGACTCTTGGAGCAATCTCTATACATCATGGTTTGGTAGAATAAATTCTATTAAGATGATGATTTTGCCACATATACTCTACCTATTTAGGTCATTACCTATCGCCTTACCGAATTCGCTCCTTCAACGATTCCAAAGGGCAATTAACGCTCATATTTGGAAGAAAAAACCCCCAAGAATCTCTTTCCGCTCTCTATGGCGCCGAATTCAAGAAAGGAGGTCTTAACGTTCCCAACATCATGCTCTACTACAAAGCAACCCTGATGTCGCAAAGCCTCAATGTCATGATGGGCACACACAAACCAGTATGGGTAGACCTAGAATCCGCTTGTGGGGGTTCACACTCCCTCTATGATGCCCTATGGTCATCCACCCCCTTAGCATCACACTCCACGCTCCCAACATCACAATATCTTACAAAATCATTGTCTTCGTGGAACACAGCATTGTGGCCAAAGGCAGAATTACTGTACCTCGCACCATTGTCAGCCCTCTCTACCTTATCTCCCGACCTCCAAACATCTAAATGGTCAGCCTTAGGTGTCACACATGTATACAAACTGTTTGGTACAAATGGCATCCATCCTTTACCAACACTGCAGGAACGGTACAATTTGCCATCGAGGGATATTTTCATGTATTTGCGTGTTAAACATATCTTAATATCACAATCGATTAAGTACATTGACCCGCTGTCACTTAGTAATATAGGTGCACAATGTTACCATGCCAAATTGATACGTCCTTCTTGCAAACTTCTTTCCCTATGTTATATGACGTTGTCTGATATTCACGGACCCTCCAAACTACCTTATATGAAGCAGTGGGAGACATCGTTAGTGGTAACCCCAACATTCATAGAATGGGAACAAGCCATCACTTACACTAAACAATCTTCGAAGTGTGTCACACTCTGGGAAGCCTACTTTAAAATGTTAATGAGATGGTACTTGGTCTCGAGCAGGATTCACAAAATTTACCCCAAATCTCCCTCAATATGCTGGCACTGCAACTCTGGTTTAGGTTCTATAGAACATATATTCTGGCATTGTCCTAACCTGCAACACTTTTGGAAGGCCGTACAAACAACCATTCATGCAATCTGTAAGACTACTTTCCCACTAGCTCCAGAAATCTACTTGCTCCACATTATCCCAAACCTACGTGATATACCATCCAGAGACGCAGTATTAAATATACTAGTGGCAGCAAAATTCAGCATTGCAGCCCATTGGAAATACACCAAGTCCCCTTCCTTGAAGGAGGTTCTACGTAGGGTAGAGGTTACATACCACCACGAATACGAATGGGCAAAAGGGGGTAACAGGTCACACCTTCTGGACAGATGGAAAAATTGGGAGTCTTTTACAGAATCTCATGCTACACTGTAACGAGCTGCACTAGCTACATGTTTCCCTCTGGTCTTTACCATCCCCCTATCTGTACTGTATAGGACATCGAGGGCAGTAAACCCGCAAACTAGACTGAATAAGGTATTCCATATGGTATAAGGCCTACCACTATACGACACGATACTATGCTATATTATCCTACTATACCTTACGAGACTACTAAACCACAATCATACCACTACTATAATATATTCCACTATAATATAAGGTATTATAACACACGACACGCTGCGCCCTACTGTACCCTTCCCATCCACCTTTCCTCCCCTTTCATTTATTATGGTTATTTCATGTATATATATGTAACTGTTTACATTACATTATGTTCTTATCCATGCTAAGTATATGACGCACAGCTAATTACTACGGAGTAGCAAGAGGGTTAAGAATGTTATGTCCACACACTCAGTCATGGAAAACTCAGGAACACTGCTTAACCTTGGCTACATATCTATAACCTTCTCACAATACCACAACACCTGGCAAGGTCACCTTGTCTATCAGTTAACAATGTTGGCGACACTATGTACTCTACCCAAACCGGTCGAGTTGTCCCCGCGTTACTTCCACAGTTTTGATTTTCTTTTAATTTTATGCCTTCATATTTGCTATCCTGTTATTGTGTACTTGGTTTGTATACCATGCAGATATCAATGATGTAGAAGGGCGAGCGGTTCAGTTCAGTCGTGTCTAAAATATTGTGACAACGGTCTAACTTTCAAGGCTACCTCAATAGTAATATTTTTACCTGAGTATCACTATATGTATTTAATGCATCAGACAGCTTCTTCCTTCACGATGGTGTATATTTGCATAAAGTCATGTATAACGCGCATCGAGATAATAAGGCTACTGCACATGTTATCACCATATATTTTGTACTCTACTGTATTAAGTTGTGTGGGGAATTTGACTCCTCTATTGTTACCTCTTTATAAAACAATAAAGATTATACATTGAAAAAAAAAAAGAAAACGTTAAAAAGAGGATTGGTACAATAAAGTAGCCCAAAAACTTTTATTGATCTAAAATACACAGTAAAATACAGAATTAATAACCATAAACGCGTTTCACCATGAGTGGCTTCTTCAGAATGGGATAAAAGTAGTAACCTGGCAGGGGTTGTTTAAATAGGGCTATGTTAATTTGAAAATTGCGCCAAAAGTGTAATTGGCCAATCAGAGACAATTTTTAAAATCACTTTTCAAAATTAGGATTCAAGAGTATGGGAGTGATGTTATAAAAGGGGGTAATATAATCCCAAACATAATGATTTAAATAGGGGTTATATTATACCCCAGAGTAATAATATATTACAGATGTTAAATGAAAATAATAGATAAAATAAAAATAAAATTAAATAAAAGATAACACAGAATACAAGATACATAAATGGAAAGGCATAGATGAAAAATTAAAAATTAAAAGATTATTATTATGAGGGTTGGTTAGGTCCAGACATAAAGAATAAAAGCATGTAGATAAGGGTTGTATATAGGAATTTAAATAAAATGAAACAGGTCAAAATCAACATTTAAACCAGATGGGGTAAGAGTTTTGAGATTAAAAACCCAATCCTAATATGTTCTTAATGTTACCACCTCTCCATGGTATTATACATTTTTTTATGCCGATGCATTTAAGGTGTCTTATATCGTTGTTATGTGTATGGAGACTGAGTGATTCAGGTAGCCTTTTTTGATATTTCTACAATGTTCACTCAGTCTCACTTTAAGACTTCTTGTGGTCATCCCTACATACTGGAGATCACAAGGGCACTCCAACAAGTAGATGACATTTTTGGTATCGCAACTGATAAAATCTTTAATTTTATAGGTTTTGTTGGTGATATTAGATTTAAAACTGGTGGTTTTGGAAGGGACGAAGGGGTCTGTGTTTTTGCCTACAATGCATCTTTTACATTTATAAAAGCCACTGGCATTGGGCATAAAGGAATTAAAAGTAGGTTTGGTTTCTTTTGTAAAATTGGTGGTTAAAATGGATTTGAAGGGGGGGCGGAGCCTGACTACTAAGCGGACCAGACGTACATTGTGAGGGCTCCCGAGTCTGAAGCTAAGATTCTGGGTTTATCACCCGACCACCCGAGCGCACCGACTGCTGAACACAATATTCGGGACAAGGAGACTGCACTGCACCCGGGGATACCCGTCACTTGGGACTCCGGTGCGAGACAGACCAAATCGAGACCGGTGGCCTGTGCAGGTGGGAGCCGGGAAGAGACGGCTGCTCTCTCGGTTCTCTGGCTGACAAAGGGGCACTCTCAAACCACTTCCCTCCCCCCCTCCCCCCCTCCCTGTGGACCGGTGGGGGTCATCCCAGTCCTCGAGTACCTAGGCTGCCTTAAGCGCAGACGCTCCTGTGAACCCTGCAGAACTCCCAAGCCACATGGCGCCAGAGATATCCAAGATAGCGGAGGCACCAAGCTCTGCAACACGAGGCTGGACACTGCTGCAGCCTGATTCCGTAAGCCCTAAAGCCACAGCAACAAACACTCTGGGAGCCATATTTGACAACTTTTGGGCCATGCTGCTCGACAGGGCAAGGCAAGTGAAAGCCACACAGGCGCATGACAAGGGAGACCAAGCATGCACCATGGAGAGGCCTGAGACGCTGCCTACAAGCAGACAAACATCCCGCACTACTCCACTCACACGGAGGCGACGCGAGCTGCGGAAACAACGCTACCGGCTGAGACACCGAGATGCGGACAGACGTCCTGCCCGCTGCCGTAAAACACCAAGTCCCAAAGCACCACGACCAGTCCTAAGCAACATACCGAAACCAATGTGGTCACCTCCAAGCCTCCCCCCATGCCGCCCTAGGCTGGGCAACCCCTTACCAAGCGAGAGAGCTGCCGCCTGGATGACCAACAACATGCTGGACAGTCCGGTAAACCCAGTGGGCATTGGCTGAACGTGCATAGTTCATACTTTTATAACATCACTCCCATACTCTTGAATCCTAATTTTGAAAAGTGATTTTAAAAATTGTCTCTGATTGGCCAATTACACTTTTGGCGCAATTTTCAAATTAACATAGCCCTATTTAAACAACCCCTGCCAGGTTACTACTTTTATCCCATTCTGAAGAAGCCACTCATGGTGAAACGCGTTTATGGTTATTAATTCTGTATTTTACTGTGTATTTTAGATCAATAAAAGTTTTTTGGCTACTTTATTGTACCAATCCTCTTTTTAACGTTTTCTTTTTTTTTTTTTCAATGTATAATCTTTATTGTTTTATAAAGAGGTAACAATAGAGGAGTCAAATTCCCCACACAACTTAATACAGTAGAGTACAAAATATATGGTGATAACATGTGCAGTAGCCTTATTATCTCGATGCGCGTTATACATGACTTTATGCAAATATACACCATCGTGAAGGAAGAAGCTGTCTGATGCATTAAATACATATAGTGATACTCAGGTAAAAATATTACTATTGAGGTAGCCTTGAAAGTTAGACCGTTGTCACAATATTTTAGACACGACTGAACTGAACCGCTCTCCCTTCTACATCATTGATATCTGCATGGTATACAAACCAAGTACACAATAACAGGATAGCAAATATGAAGGCATAAAATTAAAAGAAAATCAAAACTGTGGAAGTAACGCGGGGACAACTCGACCGGTTTGGGTAGAGTACATAGTGTTGCCAACATTGTTAACTGATAGACAAGGTGACCTTGCCAGGTGTTGTGGTATTGTGAGACGGTTATAGATGTAGCCAAGGTTAAGCAGTGTTCCTGAGTTTTCCATGACTGAGTGTGTGGACATAACATTCTTAACCCTCTTGCTACTCCGTAGTAATTAGCTGTGCGTCATATACTTAGCATGGATAAGAACATAATGTAATGTAAACAGTTACATATATATACATGAAATAACCATAATAAATGAAAGGGGAGGAAAGGTGGATGGGAAGGGTACAGTAGGGCGCAGCGTGTCGTGTGTTATAATACCTTATATTATAGTGGAATATATTATAGTAGTGGTATGATTGTGGTTTAGTAGTCTCGTAAGGTATAGTAGGATAATATAGCATAGTATCGTGTCGTATAGTGGTAGGCCTTATACCATATGGAATACCTTATTCAGTCTAGTTTGCGGGTTTACTGCCCTCAGTGTCCTATACAGTACAGATAGGGGGATGGTAAAGACCAGAGGGAAACATGTAGCTAGTGCAGCTCGTTACAGTGTAGCATGAGATTCTGTAAAAGACTCCCAATTTTTCCATCTGTCCAGAAGGTGTGACCTGTTACCCCCTTTTGCCCATTCGTATTCGTGGTGGTATGTAACCTCTACCCTACGTAGAACCTCCTTCAAGGAAGGGGACTTGGTGTATTTCCAATGGGCTGCAATGCTGAATTTTGCTGCCACTAGTATATTTAATACTGCGTCTCTGGATGGTATATCATGTAGGTTTGGGATAATGTGGAGCAAGTAGATTTCTGGAGCTAGTGGGAAAGTAGTCTTACAGATTGCATGAATGGTTGTTTGTACGGCCTTCCAAAAGTGTTGCAGGTTAGGACAATGCCAGAATATATGTTCTATAGAACCTAAACCAGAGTTGCAGTGCCAGCATATTGAGGGAGATTTGGGGTAAATTTTGTGAATCCTGCTCGGGGCCAAGTACCATCTCATTAACATTTTAAAGTAGGCTTCCCAGAGTGTGACACACTTCGAAGATTGTTTAGTGTAAGTGATGGCTTGTTCCCATTCTATGAATGTTGGGGTTACCCCTAACGATGTCTCCCACTGCTTCATATAAGGTAGTTTGGAGGGTCCGTGAATATCAGACAACGTCATATAACATAGGGAAAGAAGTTTGCAAGAAGGATGTATCAATTTGGCATGGTAACATTGTGCACCTATATTACTAAGTGACAGCGGGTCAATGTACTTAATCAATTGTGATATTAAGATATGTTTAACACGCAAATACATGAAAATATCCCTCGATGGCACACTTTGAAACACGTGATGACGTGATGTGACGTGATGTGACGTGCAGCACGTCGGGAGGGGAGGAGCTGGGATCGGATCGGAGCGACTGGCGGGAAGAGATGGCGAGATGGGGAGACGCTTAGCTAAGAGGCGCCATTGCCGTTGCCGCTGTATTCGGAGAGTAGACGGTGTTCCAGAAAGCCGATTTTTACCTCCCATGGAGCCTAAGAGGGTGGATACTTATATAGAGGATTGACTTTGCAGCATGGCACCAGCATGGTACCAGACGGTTTGATACCCTCACGGAATACATAAGTGAACTTGCTTTTCTTTTAAGGGAAAAAAAAGGGGGACACTGTGATAATGTATGCGTCGATCCCAACATGAAGCTTTAATATTGGAAATAACTTTTGGCATTCTAAATCCTATATGCTGTGAATACTGGGGCATGCTAAAAATGCCAGTTAAGACATTGTCCCTCTAAAGGTACTACTTTAATCAAAGGCAGTCATGATACTGTGAATTTAGTGGCACTTTATATTGAAGGCAGTTAGAACTCTGCACAAATTGTGGCACCTTGTACAGGCAGTTATTACACTTGGACTTTATACCCTAAGTTAGCTATAATACAGTTACAATACTTTTTTTTTCTTTTTTTTTGGTATATGGTGGCTCTGTGGCATCGTTGTGACCAATGTCGCATTATAACATCAAATTAATCATAAATCAAATAGTACAGCTGTAGCATTGTGAACACTGTGGCACCTAACAAAAAGGCAGCTATTTGGGCTCCGTACGCTAAAAGGCCGTTTAAAAACATTGAGAAGACAACGCCTCCTTATATCAACTGATACTATAACACTGGAAATCTGGGGGCGCCTTATAGCAACAAGGCAGTTGTAATATCGTGATTGCTGTACATCCAGGGTCCTTTGATCAATAGGCTGATACTTTATGGTGAAGAGTGTGGCACTCTATACTGAAGGCCATTTACAATATTGTGCATATAGTGGCTCCTTATATCATAGGGTGTTATAATATTGTGAATAATGTGGTGTGGCCATGTATGCAAAAACGGCTGTTAAACTACTGTGATTACTGCGGCACTTTAAGCCAATAGCTAGTTTTAATATTATGAACACTAGGTAATTTATACCAAAAGACGGATACAACTCAGCGAATTTTGTGCCACCGCATTTGAAAAGGTAGTTATAACACTGTGAACTCTGAGGCATTTCATATTAAAGGTGATATGTCTTCCAAAAAAACACAGGAGAGCAAAGCCTCAACAAAAGCTGACAAAAAAGGTCAAAAGCAAGAAAAAAGATTATCGGCTTTTTTTGTTCCACAAGACTCTCAAGATGGGGTGGAGCAATCCTCTATGGAATCTCTTCAAACAGGGCTTGGTGCTTCACCCATCAAACTTCTTGATAAAGAAGTAGTTACTCCTTCTTTTCTAAAGAAATGCCTGGATGATCTTTCTAAAGAAATTAAAAAGGACTTAAGTGATACGTTTTCTGATATAAAGACTGATTTAGTGGAATTAAAGGAACGTTTGTATAAATTAGAAGAAAAAGAAGAAGATACTGCGTTCCAGCTCCAGGCAGTAAAGGACACTCAAATTAAGATGGAATTGAAATTGAAAGAATTGGAAGACAAAACCTGTGAGCTGGAAGATAGAACTAGAAGGCTGAATTTAAGGTTTAGAAATATACCGGAGGACATATTAGATGCTCAACTATATGATTTTTTGTTGAAATATTTTAACTACCTGGGGGTCTCCACAGCACAACAAGAAATCAAATTGCCCAGGTATCACCGTCTTTCCTACAGAAAGAAAGATCAAATGTACCCACGAGATGTAATTGTAGCATTTGATTCATATGATCTTAGGTCTCAAATTCTTCAGACAGCAAGGAAAACGAAGATAAAGGATGAGGAATTTACAGCTATAAAGGTGTTAACAGATGTTTCCTTTGTAACGAGGCAAAGAAGAAATGCATTTTCGACGGTTTTTCCGTGCCTGAAGAAATTTAATCTGAAGTTCAAATGGACTGCACAATCAGCTTTATTAATTTGTTATAACGACATATGGAAGTCCTTTAAGTCAGCAGATTTGGTTCATGTTTGGTTAAAAAATATTGATAAGTAGTCTGAATCAATCAGTCTGACGGACGAAGATATGTCTTTCCGTACCCGTCTAAATGAGAGAGGGCGAGGGAGGTGGAGGAGATGAGAGGAAATTGTGGGTTTTTTTTTTTCTTGGTGATGGGGATATAATGAAGTATACAAAAATGACTAATTGAAAATAATAGTTATTGTGAACATTTTTTTTATAACGGTAAAACTTAGAGTCACAATCTATAGACAAACACTTGTTTGTTTACGGAGAATTAGAGTGCACTCACATTGGTCTTTCAGTGATAGTATAAGATAAGAGAGAAGAAAGAAAAGGAAAAGATTAAGTTTGAGATTTTCGGTGTGGTATAAGAAATACAGAGCACAACTGAGAAGATGGGTAATAGGGGGAAATTAATATTGGGGTTGCCTTCGAGTATGTAAAGCGATTATTAGAGTGATCACAATTTTGATTTATAAGAGGGAATTTATAATGCCCTATATTGGCACAATTTGGGGATGTATTTAATACTGGTACGAAATGATTATAGATTTTGAAATTATAGCAATATTGAATTATCCAGATACACTCTTTAATCACTCTGGTAGTTGATAGTATATTCACGTTGACCCTGACTGGGTAATGGGAAGTTCAGTGACACTACGGGGTGTTATAATTTAATATAGAATATTCTAATTTTGATATTTTTGTGATAGGGGGTATTATTTTGACAAGGGGAAAATATGGTTTTTTTTTGTTTGTTTTTTCCTCCCGTTATCCCCTCCCTTATTGGTTTCTTTCTCCGGTCATAGGTAGTCCTAGGATCCCATGCTTATTCCTGTGGGAGTCTAAGAGATTCTCAGTATGTGGAATATTATTTTTGGTATTCCTGCAGTTTATGTAGATTTAATTGTTTTAATGGTGTATTGTCTTATGCGTAGTATGTTTAATTGGTCGTATGTGTTGCAGAGGTGGGCAAGGAGCGTTAAGAAAAAACTTAGATTATTCGATGGTTAGAATTCTGTCTATTAACGCGCAAGGCCTTAATTCTCCTTATAAACGTGGTTTTTTGTTTAATACCTTGGTGAACCAGAAAATTCAAATAGGGTTTATACAGGAAACTCACTGGTTAGCGGAAGCTAGAAAATTATGGTTCTTTAAAAAATATCCGGTGATTTACTCCGCTTCTTTAAAAGGAAAAAAGAAATGTGGTGTATCTATAATTTTCTCTAGAGAAGTTATTTTTGATTGTAGTTATAATTATTTAGACCCGGAAGGGAGATTTATTATTTTGGTGGGTCAATTGAACGGGCTGGATTATACTTTGGTTAACGTTTACCTTCCCAATCAAGATCCTATTAAAACTCTGACGAAAATTTTAGGGCTGGTGGAACAGGTTAAAAAAAGGGAGAATTATCTTTGTAGGTGACTTTAATTGTATTTTTGATACTTTTTGGGACAAACAATTGGCTAAAAACCAGAAGATAGATAAATCTCTCAAAAGGCAAGCGGCATCGCTAAGTAGAGTGATCAAGAAAGCGGAATTGTTCGATTGTTGGAGACTGTTCCATCCTAATGAAAGAAATTTTACGCACAGATCTATTCCCCATAATTCGGCTGCTCGGATAGATATGATATTGGGTAATTTAAATTCAGTTCAGGCAATCTCTTCAATTGTTATCGTTGAAAACACGTGGTCAGATCATGACATGGTAATTGCAGATCTGATGGAAAATAACAAGCGATCCCCTCAGATTTGGAAATTGGCAGATTATCTGCTAAAAAATAAAGAAAATATAGAACACATAGAGAAGACAATCAATTTTTTTATTAAGGAGAACCTATCTGAGGAGGTATCTAAAGAACGTCTATGGTCCGCGTGCAAAGCAGTCATAAGGGGACACTGGATAAAACTTTCAAGTTTTCAAAAAAGAAATGTAGATAAAACTTTGTCGGATCTTTATATCCAATTTTATAATCTCTCTAAAGCTAATAAACAAGTTTATTCTGAGGATAGAGCTTTAGTAATTAAATCCTATCAGGAAAAGATAAATGAACAGATTAAAAACAGGGTGGAACGGAACTTAAACAAGTTAAATATTAAATATTATTATAAGAATAACCGGGTAGACTCAGTCCTTACAAATAAATTAAAGAAAAAGATGATAGATCATAAGATATCTAAGCTAAGAGAAGGGAATGATTATTTTTATAAACCTGAAGAAATTGCCAGTAGATTTAGAGGGTTTTATCAAAAACTTTATAATTTGAATAAATTTCCTGATCAAGATGTGCTGGACAGCTATTTGAAAAATTCTAACCTGTTCAAATTATCTAATGACCAGAAGGTGAAAATTAATAGAAATATATCTTCTCATGAAGTGGAATTGGCAATAGATAAACTTACTAATAGTAAAGCTCCTGGACCAGACGGGTATACAAATTTGTTTTTTAAAGTTTTTAAGAGACAATTAACCCCGTTGTTAACTGATACCTTTAATGAATTGGCAAACAAAGGGATTGCTTCTCAAGATCTATTAAGGGCCCATCTCACTCCAATTTTGAAACAGGGTAAAACTCCAGATGATGTGAGTAATTATCATCCTATCTCCCTGGTTAATGTGGATATGAAACTTTATGCCGCAATTTTAGCGGAACGGCTGAAAATAGTTATGCCATCACTCATACACAGGGATCAGATAGGTTTTATGCAGGGAAGACATTCCTCTAGTAACACCCGCAGGGTTCTAGATATTATAGAGTGGGCTCAAGCCGAGGGAACACCCCTTCTGACCCTGTCGGTGGATGCAGAAAAGGCCTTCGACAGGGTCGGATGGGGGTATTTGAATAAAACTTTGATACAATTTGGTTTTGACGGATGGTTTCTGAGTGCGGTTGGGGCTATATACTCAAACCCTTCCGCTCGAATAGTAGCCCGCGATTTATGTTCTGATTGGTTCAATATTAAAAATGGGACGAGACAGGGGTGTCCCCTTTCACCTTTATTATATATCTTGTCAATAGAACCACTAGCAAATAATATTAGACAAAATCCTGGGATTAAAGGTATAGGAACTCAATCCGATGAATGGAAGATATGTCTATATGCTGACGATATTTTGATCTCCATTACGGATCCTCTGGTTTCTCTTCCGCATTTAATGCAAGAATTTAATAATTATAGCAGTGTTTCAAATTATAAATTGAACACGAATAAAACTATAGCCATGCCAATTAATATCCAAAAAGATAATCTATTCTCCCTAAAGAGAGACTTTGATTTTAATTGGACAAAAAAAGAGTTTATATACTTGGGGGTAATTATAACGGCAGAGATAAGCCGGACTATGGAAACCAATTTTTTGAAGTTGTTAAAAGAGACCAATATGTTATTGAAGGAATGGAGAGTGCATGTAATTTCCTGGTTGGGTAGGATTAATACCATTAAAGCTTATATAATACCTAAATGGGCATACTTATTTAGTATGCTCCCTCTTTCGATTTCGAGCTACTGGCTGAATATGTTGCAAACTAGTATTACAGCGTATGTCTGGAGAGGGAAGAGACCAAGGATCAGTACGTATCATTTATCAAGGAAGGCCTCTCAGGGGGGGTTGGGCTACCCCCTTGTTAATCAAATTTATCAGGCTAATATATTAGTTCATGTCAGCAAATTACAGCTAACCGATTCTAGAGACCAAGCCTGGTATAAAATTGAAGCTGCTAGACTTGGTCTAGACAATCTTGAATTTCTCTTATGGAGAGAGGCAAGTCAGAACAGGCATTTGTGTGAGATGGGTTCTGACCGTCCTCTGTCCTTATTTCAGACATTAAAGAATGGACGATCTTAAAGAGGAAGATGAATATTAATAGAAAAATATATGAGAATCTGAGTTTGAAATCGTTGGAAAGTTTCATGCTAGAGATAAATCTGACAAATTGGTATAAAAACTTTGATTACAAGATAAAAGATCTCTACTTGGACCACCAATTGAAAAGTTTTGAGGTTCTGAAGAATTGGTTGGATTTACCCTCTAGAGAACTATTTAATTTCCTCCGCATTAAGAGTTATTTGAAAGATAATATATTGGCCCTAGAAGGCCGACTTGGAATAATGTTTAGGAAAAATTTTTCAGGGGATCCTGTTAAAAGGGTTTATTCTATTGCAGTTGAATTAATAAAGATGATAGGGTCCTCTCTTATTCCTAAAGCTTTAACTAAATGGGAAACCGATCTATCAATTTCTATTCCATTTGATAGTTGGTGTAAATCTTTTGTAAGGACTAAAAAAAATATCCATTGTTTGAATATTTTAGAGACCTTTTTGAAGGTACATTTTAGATGGTATTTGGTCCCTATTAGACTTGCTAAAATCTCTATTACTAACACATCAAACTGTTGGCGATGTTTTCATCCAGATGGTTCAATGGTTCATATATGGTGGTCATGCCATCGAATTAAATCTCTCTGGATGATTGCATATGAATTTATAAATAGATTGGGAGGTTCTTATTTGGATTTTAAACCGGAAATTGCTCTACTCCATCTTTTGGGCTCAGAAATAAAGGATAATTTTGACATTGTGATTACACACTGCTTAATGGCTACTAAAATATTAATTGCCAGATTTTGGAAAAGTATTGTCATCCCTACGAGAGATCAAGTTAAAGTACAACTTTTATTCCAAGTTGAGATGGAAAAGGGATTACTGTCCATGAGAGAATACTCTAATACCAAGGCTTTGTCGTTTTATTCTAGTCTTGTCCATAATGTTAAGAGGCTTTAAGGTATATGACTTTGTGGGGTTTTGTGTATGATTTCCTTATGGTTGGTATGTTGTCTCCATTGGGGGCTCCTCTACTAGTCTCCTTGGCCTTGAATTGGGTTCTTCTCCAACACATATGACCAGTTTTTGTCTGTGTTTCTGTCTGTGTCTCTGTCTATGTTTAAATATATTTCTAATGGGAATGTATAAGCCGCGTGTGGTCTATTTCACACAGCCAACGAGATGTTAATGTTTCCAGACTGTTTTT